CTGGCTCTACCACATGGAAGCTATAACTTTAGCCTGTTATTTAACTGCTCTGTGCCTCATTGTCCTTATCTGTAAAATGAGTCTAAAACAGTATCTACTTCACGGGATTGTTGTGAAAATTTAATTTGTTAATGTTAGCTAAGTGCTTAGATCAGTACCTGGCACTTAAAACATCCAACAATTATGTTTCTGATATTAAGACCATTATCATAATTAAGCTGTTGTACCCAAATGACGCCTCATATATATGGCAGGTGGAGTGGTATTATGTATTCCTCTGGTGCTGGGCTCCCTGGAATCAAGCTATAGCCTTAATTATATAACTCAGTTCAGAAATCATTTTTATGCCAGGCACTGTGTTAGACACTTGACTACAGCATTTCCTTTGATCCTCCTAAAAATCTTAAGAAGTATGTGCTATTATCCCCATTTTATAGATGTAGAAACTCAACTTTAAAAAGGTTAGCTAACTTACCTAACACCATGAAGCCAATATGATTCCTAGGTCTGAGGTTCTGACTCAGCAGGCCTGGTTAAGGCCTCAGAATCTGCATTACAAGTGCTTCTCCCAATCCTCCCAATTCTCATAAGGGTGACCTCTTTATTGTCCCTTGGAAAACTGTGGCCTAGATGATCTCCAAGAGTCCCTCTGGCTGCGAAGTCTATAAAGATAAGAAAGGCTATACATTTGAGTATATGGTTTAGTGAGGAAGGCAGTTACGGCTGTTAATGTTCTTTTTATAAGAGAACTAACTCAGTTCAGGGCATTTTTCTGACACAGCCATTGTCTTAACAGGTACTCTGGGACTGAAAAGTGTGCCTCCCTCCAAGTGTTTTGCATTATGTAATCCCTGTTCATAATTTCTCATTTTTACCATTGCAAAATAAAATAAAATAAAATAAAAATGCTGTGAAAGTAAAAAACCTAAAGTTTAGGGCAACTCATTTTGCAGTCAAACTAGACTGAATTGAAGTAAATTTATTTGTAGGCTGAGTGCCAAAGAGTTGACTTTTGAACTGTAGTGTTGGAGAAGACTCTTGAGAGTCCCTCAGACAGCAAGGAGATCCAACCAGCCCATCCTAAAGGAAATCAGTCCTGAATATTCATTGGAAGGACTGATGCTGAAGCTGAAGCTACAATACTTTGGCCACCTGATGTGAAGAACTGACTCATTGGAAAAGACCCTGATGTTGGGAAAGATTGAGGGCAGGGGGAGAAGGTGACGACAGAGGATGAGATGGTTGGATGGCATTACTGACTCAATGGACATGAGTTTGAGCAAACTCTGGGAGTTGCTAATGGACAGGGAGGCCTAGTGTGCTGCATTCCAGGGGGTCGCAAAGAGTCAGACATGGCTGAGTGACTGAACTGAGGTGTTATTTAAACCACTTGCTCTGAATATTTATACATTGTACTAAAAAATTATCAATATGCTGGATTATGGGGTTGTATTAATTATGAGCAATTACATAACAAATTGATCTCAAATTTAATGGCTTGAAATATACTCTCCCCAGTATTTGTTAGTTGTATACTTAATGATGGCCATTCTGACTGGTATGAGGTGATACTTCATTTTAGCTTTGATTTGCATTCTCTAATAATTAGCTATATTGAACATCTTTTCATATGCTTGTTGACTGTCTTCTTTGAAGAAATGTCTATTTAGTTCTTCTGCCCACTTTTTAATTGGGTTGTTTTTGTGGCTGTTGTTGTTGAGTTGCATGAACTGTTTGTATATTTTGGAAATTAAGCCCTAGTCAGTTGCATAGTTTGCAAATATTTTCTCTCATTTTATAGGTTGTCTTTTTATTTTGTTTATGGTTTCCTTTGCTGTGCAAAAGCTTGAAGTTTGATTAGGTCCCATTTGTTTATTTTTGCTTTTATTTCTATTGCCTTGGAAGACAGCTCCATATAATAGATGAAGAAACTTAAGTTCAGAGAAGTTAATTTGCATGCCTAAGGTCACACAGCTAGTAAGTGATGAGACTGAGTTTGAACTAGTTCTGTCCAACTCAAGATCCATTCTTGTTCCATTTCATGAGGCTGTCCGTAGCACTGGCTTCTTCTAAGTCCTTTAGGCTGAAAACATCAGAGTCTCTTACAACATCTATTCATAACCTGCATTCAATTAGTCATTAAATCTAGTTGATCCTATCTCTACCAGGTCTGATTATCTGACCCCATTGCCACTGACACAAGCAAACACCTGATCACATTCTGTGGCATATTATGAAATATCCTTTTTTGACTTTCAAAGGCATATATGTATATAAATAATATTCCATTATTTTATAGTGCATGACCATGAAATCAGGTGATGTGAACTCAAAAGCACATAAAGTCCAAACATATGTCTTGGGTTATTTCCCAAGGAGGCCCAAAAGCCAGCTTGGGTTTCCCTCACTGGCAGACTGGTGGATTCACACAATGGGATCTATGTAGCAGATAAAAGCAATAATGTGCACCATACATAGGCTTGTGTACAAGGACTTGATCCTTAGCTCCTTCTGAAGGGGGAATCTCAGCAGCAGCAGCCGTGGGGGCCCACTGGAACACAGACTATGACTGATACCATAGAATGACTTGCTCAGCATCCATCCCCTGCTTCTTCTGCATGCCTGCCTGAACTCAGAGGCTGTGAAGGCAAAATCCACCTTCATCAGCCTCCTTCACAGGTGCTGAGGGTGATTAGAACACGTCGTTCAGATGTGCTTGCAGGAGACTCAAATTAGAGTTAAGTGGGGACGAGGTGGGGCACCTTGTTTCTACACTATGTTGTTGGTACGGGTCTGGCTGATGCAGAGCCAGCACTGAAAATGGCAACTCCTCAATCCCGGGGCCTGGAGACAGCAGTTGAGGCACCATCTGGGTGGTGTTTTGGGTGTCATTCCTGGGGGCCCAGCCTAGAGCCCGCTCCACCATCAATTTCGTAAGCACCAATTTCCTGTTATCCTTTCCTGAATAATATAGCTGAAGCTGATTTTTTTATCTTGTGTGTGTGTATGTATGGGTGGATGAGTGGGTGTGTTTTAAAGATTTCAAGGTGAAATCTCCTGACTTAAAATATGGACTTGGACTAAGCACCTGCCTTCTGAGCCTGGTTATGTTGCCTATGAAATGGTTGTATGAAACCCCTTCCCATAATGTCATGGGGGAGATTCACGGAAAATCATTTGCAAAGTGCCTGCTTTGCACTGCTCCATAGTAGCTGCTCCATAACAGAAAAACTTTGTGTAGTGTAAGAAGCATGGGTTTTGTGGAAATTGCATTCAAACCATGGTAACACTGCTTATCAGCTGTGTGACCACTTAAAACTTTCTGAGGCCCCGGGAGATGTGGATGACAAATATCTAGTAGCACAGGGCCTTTTTGTTTGTGTGCCGGTTTTGGTGAGGATTCAAGAGTTATTGTAACACATATAAAGATGCCCAGCACAGTCCTTGCCTGGTACATAGTAGCCTCTTTTCAAAGGTGAATTTCCTTCTTTATCTCTTATTCCCTCAACTTCACAGTCATTTTTAATATATCTGCTGATAAACAGGATAGTTGGAAAGAAATCAATTAGGTAAACGGTTGTAAAGAATGCAGTTACACAACCAGCCATGTGCTCCCTAATAGGAAACTGATAATTTTTTTCTCCACAATACAGGAAATAAGACTGTCTCTGCCACTCCAGTGAGTGTGTCTGGGCACATTGGAGACTGTTCTGTGCACACCTCTTTCCTGCCCCAGCGGCCCTTTCTTCTGCTACCAGAGCTCTGCTTCAGAAGATAGGGCCGGCACCCTGCGCGTCTGGGGACGGCCGAGTGAGATAGGAGCGGACTGGGAAAGGGAGGCCCTCTGGGCTCTTTGCGAAAGTGTCAGTAAGGTCGAAAGAGAGGAGGAAGGGATGCTGCTGGACACACAGGTGGGTCTGCGGTTTGTCGAAAGACTTGTCTTAGCCCTGGTGTTGGGGCAGGTGCAGAGCAAGCTTATGGAGAGTAGAAATAAGGCACTGCTGATAGAAAGTGTGTGGCGGGGGAGGGATAGTGGCTATTTTAGAATTATTCTTTAGCCTTTCTTGCTATCAGATATACTTCTTGACCAACAGTATAACTAGTAGAATCCATTGAAAAGCATTTTGAGAAGCAGAGGCCATCAATAGACAATTATGTTGGGTCTTAACCAATATATACTCCTGTAAGTGCTAGAGTTTTGTTTCTATCTTTAATCCTTCCCGAAGGGTGTTGCTGTTGTTCAGTTGCTAAGTTGTATCCACTTCTTTACAACTCACTGGACTAGAGCACACCAAGCCCCTCTGTCCTCCACTATCCCCTGGAGTTTGCTCAGATTCATGTCCATTGAGTTTGTGAAGCTAACCATCTCACCCTCTGCCACCCCTTCAATCTTCCCCAGCATCAAGGACTTTTCCAATGAGTCAGTTCTTCACATCGGGTGATCAAAGGACTGGAAGCTTCAGCATCAGTCTTTCCCATGAAAGGTCCCAAAGTCTAGCAGCAGTGATTAGCACACAGTGATTGACACGCCACCTGTAGCTTATTGTCAGTGGGCAGGGCATCCTGTGGGGGAGACGTGGCCACTCAGCAAACATTGGTGGAGTGCCCACCATGTTCCCGCCAGAGGCTGAAGATATAAAAATACATAAAATCCTCCCTTTCCCAGGGAGCTGACATTCTAAAGGCAGAGACAAAGGCAGGACTTCAGCTAACATTGAGTGCCTACTCTGTTCATGCTCCTACCAGGCTCTGGAGATATAACAATGGGTAAGATCTGGTCCCTGCTTTTAAAGGTCTTACAGGTTGCTGAGGTAGGGTGGAAGAAACCATCAGATGGACAGGTAACTATAATCCGGTGCCCTTCAAGGCAGGGTGGGTTCAAGGGGCTAAGGAGGATCTGTTAGACCTTCTTGTCCAGAATGGAAAGGCCATGGAAGGTGGGGGGGGCTGTCCAGAGTAGAGCATTGGGCTAAGACAGGGTGAGCAGCACGTATCTGGGTAATAAGAGCAGGTAGTGTATGGGTGTGCTCCCATTGCTGAAGGTGTAGAGAGGCCATTCCAGGCAAAGAAGGCTGCACTGCCCAAGAAAGGGCTTGGCGGTCTGAGAGCACAGGCATGTTTGGTCCTGCTGGAAGGTAAGGTACATGGTGTGACGCAGTGGTGGGAAGTGAGGTTTGAAGAAGGCTGGGACTGGCTCTTACTGAAACTTCTTTGTCCTGCTAAGTAAAGAACCTGAATTCTATCCTGAAAGCAATGGGGAACAAGAAGAGATATTTTATGAAGTAAATTGAAACATTTTTTGATTGTTAAGTATGTGTGTATTCACTAGTGGGTGAGATTATGGGAATCTGATGGTGTGTAAAACACACTTTGCTCACATGGAGTTTATGATCCAATGTGAAAGAGATTAAACAAACAGATCTTTTGTTTATAGGATAATTAAGGTCATATTTACATAATTAAATCAATTAATTAATTTACATAATTTAATTTACATAATTAAATCAATTAATGATTCTATGCACACCATAGAATCATCCAAAAGGTGCCGTGCTTAGTAGCTCAGCCGTGTCTGACTCTTTAGGAACCTATGGACTGTAGCCTGCCACGCTCCTCTGTCCATGGGATTTTCCAGGCAAGAATACTGGAGTGGATTGCCATTTGCTCCTCTAGAGGATCTTCATGACCCAGGGATTGAACCTGTATCTCCTGCATCTTCTGCATTGGCAGGCGGTGCTTTACCCCTGAGCCACCTGGGAAGCATGATCCAAAAGAAATGAATAGTTACAAGGTATGACAAGTGTTTTGAAGACAATTCTAAGTCACTTGGTGGTAAACAGCCAAATAGTAGCCAATATTAATAGTCACAGGCATTTGGTTGAGTAATCTCAGAGTAGCTGTCATCAGGCTTCATGAACATTATCTCATTGAATCTTCAAAGCAGTGAGGTGAATGGAATTTATCTCATGTAATGCTGTATGTCTGATCCAAGATTTGTACAGTTAACGTATTAAGATTACATCTTGACTTTTACCTTCTGGTATTAACAACTGTGATACTAGACTGGATAATGTGCCCCCCTACCCCCACCCCACCAAGATATCCATGTCTGAAACCCTGGAACCTATGAATATGTGACTTAACGTGCCACAAGGGACTTTGCAGGTGTGATTAAATGAAGGATCTTGAAATGGGGAGAGTATCCTTGATTATCTAGGTGGGTCAAATGTAATCACAAGAGTCCTTATAAGAGGGATGCAACAAAGCTAGAGACAGTGGGGAGATGGGGAGATGTGATGATGGAAGCAGGGGTTGGAGTGATGTGCTTTGAAGAGGGAAGAGGGGACCCCCAAGCTGGAAAACGCATGGAAACAGATCCTCCCCTGAGAACACCTCGGTTTTAGCCTCCAAGGACCATTTCCATCTTCTCACCCCCACAATTATAAGGTAATAAATTGGTGTTATTTTAATACACTAAGTTTATAGTAATTTGTTACAGTGGCAATAGGAAACTAATAGAGCAAGTTTTTTTTTTTTATACTTCTCAACAGCCAGATCAAAAGCTCCCCATCAGGACACTCTGCTTTGCATAAAAGAAGACAAGTGTTTCAGAAGCTGGTAGAAGATCTCCAGCTGGGCGGATGAGTCCAAAAGTGAAAGGAGAATGGAAGGAAATGGGAGAGACAGTATTTTAAGTGAAGGGAATCCAGAGAAACAAATACAGAGGTGGGACACAGAAGCCACATCCATGCTAGAGGGTTAATAGTCTGGTTTTGCTAAAACCATCAGGCATATCAGACATGTGGAGTGTGACATAAGGCTGGGGATTTTGGCTGCAGACCAGGGAGCCTGACCCTTAGGTGTATAAGCACTGACTAGACAGTCAAGGATCATGAGAGGATTGAGGGCGGGGAGCACTTAACATGCAGTGTTTTATGAAGAATTCCCTCCACACTTGGGAGTGGTAGGAGGGTAGGGGATAAGGCCACCAGTTCTGAGAATTTTGCTGTCACATGCCCCATAGAATGCAAGTCTGAACTAGCTTGGTGGCAGTAGGAAGAGAGAGTGGAGTCTCCCTGCTATAGATAACTCTAAGAAAAATGTCTTTTCTACCAGCAGTTCTCAAAGCGTGGCCCCTGGGCTTCTGCCATGTCCTTTCAAAGAGTCCTCAAGGTTAAAACCATTTTGTACTCTCATTCTCACGGTGCATAGAGGACTCTCTCAGAGGTTACAAGACATGTGGGGTTGCTATGCACTCGATGCAAAAGGAGAATTCATCTCTCTTCCTTTAAGCCAGACATTAGACTTGAAAAAAATGTTTGGTCTTAGAAAATGTTATGTTACAAAAATGCTCTTTATGCTAATGTATATGCTATTTCTAAGTAAATATATATTCAGATGTTTCTTAGAGTTAATCTCTAATGTGGTAAATATTGATAGATACAAGCCAATAATTCTTTGGGGTCCTCAGTATTTTTTTAGGAGTATAAAGGGGTCATGAGACAATAACTGTGAGATTTGCTGTTGTATACAAATCTTTGGGCCTGACTCTTGTTTATTTGGGGTAAATTCCTAGACTTCAAATCCCGGACAAGGCAGAAATGACTTCCCACCTGACAGCTGAGGCTCAATAGGGTTAAGGGACCATGGGTAGGTCCACACCTCTCGTGAATAGAATAACAGCTGAAAGCCTTGTGTTTGCACCCGGTATCCTGGGCTTTTCCCATTGTTCTGAGTGCCTGAGGAGGGGTTGGCCTGCTGGATGGAGCCCTGGAAGGGCCGGTCCTCACGCTGCAGCTAGCGCCCCAAGGCCTTGAGTTCCTGCCAGGCTGGCGCTTCCCAGCCTGTGCTCAGGGCTCCCTCTAGAGGCTGAAAGTGGATCCTACACCACCATCCTTGCTTTATCTTTCTGCTGTTCCCGCTGAACAGGAGTTGAAGTTCCTGCCTGCCAGGTGCGGTGGAGCAGAGACCTAAGAGATTGTGGAAAGGAGAAGCCACATTTTGCAGTGATGAAGCCACTGAACTGACCTGAAGCTTGGGCAACTGGGGTCACTTGATCTCTCTGCGTTTCAATTACTAAAGAAAAATGGTCACTAAGATTCTTCCGGCTCTAGCAGCCTTTTATTCTGTGGGCCAGTTATTCTTATGTCCCAAGCCAGTGAGAGAAGATGACAGGGGTGGGGCTTGGTTCGCTGGGCTACTGTCTCTCAGGGCTATCCTTGCATTTATGGGTTTGGCCCAACCTGAATCTGACTTCAGGACAGGTCTTTGTAATTATAGCGCTCAATGATTCTGTCCTTTAGCGAGTTCATTTTTGAAGCTCTTCGCTACAAATCATTCATTTATTAAACAAACAACAATAACCTGGCATGATTGAGATATATGTCAGGCACTGGGCCAAAGGCCATATGTGTATTTTCTAACTTGAACCTGCCCAAACCCTCTGAAGTAAATGCTGTCGTCCTTCCCTTTTACAGAGGAGAAAATTGAGGCACAGTAAGCTTAAGTCACTTGCCAAAATCACAAAGCAACTGTGGCAGAACCAGAATTCAAAACCAAGCAGTCTGGTCCCATAGCTGTGACACTATACCTAGCCTTGATAATAAGAGTTTGCATTTTTTAGGGTTTTCTGTGTCCTTGGAGCTTTATGTACAATATCTCATTTAATACTCACAATTGTATAAAGCAAATCTATAAAGTAGGTATCATCATCTCAGTTTTACAAGAAGGATACCTATTTTCAAGTTACCTAAATACTGAGCAAGAGAGCTGAGATTCCACTTCTGGGTCTTCAGAGATTGTGTTGCTCAATTTAGAGCCATCTATATGCCAGGAAAAGATGAGGAAAACCAAATGAGTCTTCAAGGGGCTTATATTATAGTCTCCTTGTGGAGTAATGATGGTCACAAACATTTACTGAGCACGTTGTGAGTATAGTGTACATGGTAAGTGAACCTGAACACAGTGAGGGGACTTGAAATAAGGATGGAGCTGTGACTGTCTCATGGGACCTAAGGGAGGGAATGGGCCTGGAACCTGGGAAACAAAGCATCATGCGAGGAATTCTGTCTTGTCTCTGCTTCTTTATGCTTGTGTACTTGGTTCTGTCCTCTTTTGACAGCTGTCGTGTATGTGTGTGCGTTTGTATAGACTTATACAGCCAGGAGAGCAAAAGAAGAGAGTGCAGATGAATGAGTGGTAAATGGCTCAACAAACTCACTGAAGTCGAATTCTAAACCGGCAATGGGGAAAACTGTGATTAAGTAAAATTCATATTTTATGGCAATACAAGGACAATTTAAGCATAAGATTTTTCTCTGCCCATTTGGACCTCCTGTCTCCCCTTAGGGTGTGGCATGACTGCCCACTCCAGTATTCTTGCCTGGAGAATTCCATGGACAGAGGAGCCTGGTGGAACCCTGCAGTCCTGGGGTCACAAAGAGGCAGACACGACTGAGCGAGTAACACACACACACGTGCATTTGCATTAACCAGACCTGCTTAGGAGATAACCTTCCTTGTTAATCCTGCAAGGGGTTACGGTGACCCACTCACTGCTCGTTCGTGGTGGTCTGGAGCGTGTAAGCTGTCAGTACATGATCTGATGTGTAACTCTTTGTCTCAACAATGTACATAACTATGATTTGGTCTCTAGCAGGCAGAGCAGACCTTAGAGCTTTCTGAAAGACTGTCTCCTAGGAATAATCCACAGGGTGGCTTGAATAAAATTTCCCATTTCTTTCTTTTCTCTCTCTCTTTTTTAAATTAGAGGATAATTACTTTACCATATTGTAGTGGTTTTTGCCATACATCAACATGAATTCACATTAGGTATACACATGTTCCCTCCCTCTTGACATTTGTTTCTTAGACGGACTATTGATTACTGTTTTGTCGACAGTTGAGAACCAACTTTATTTTCACTGCAGAATCTTGAAAAGGTTCAGGAATTTGTGGTACCTGGAATAACAAGAAATAGTGTAAAATAGATGTTACAGTGAGGATTTGTTGGCAATTGTTAAGAAAAGTTAGACCTGTAGGTCCTTCCAGAACTGTTGCTTCCTTGAAGACTGCTGCTCCCTTCTCCAACCAGAAGGTTCCAGGTTTGTTTCCTGAAGAAGGGGAAGCACAGGGTCTTGGATGGAGTGACCTCAGCTAGGCCCAGGTGAGGATGGCGGCACCTTCAAAATGAAGTCCCTCACCCTGAGGTCCTCACACAGCTCCCTGGAAGCTGGTTGCCGGGCCTTTATGTCTATATCTAGTGACAGGAAGAACCTATTCTGGGAAGTATAACCTGCCCAAGTTAAAAGACTGAAAGGTGCTGATATTAGTAGTTTGCCGTTAAGTAGCAGATGCAGATCACTTTACAGTGAAGCCCTGGGTCAGCAGAAACCACGCCCAGAACTTCCAGTTCACTTTTTATTTCCAGAATCTCCCAATTTCTTTCTGTCAGTTGTGTCTGCACTGTCTTTCTCTCTTTAAAAATACAGAATAATTTGTGGCAGGGGGAGAAGGAAGGATAAATTGGAAGATTGGAACTGACATGTACACACTACTATATATAAAATAAACAACAAGGACCCACTGTATAGCACAGGGAACTAGAGTCAATATCTTGTAACAACCTATAAAGGAAAAGAATCTGCAAAAAACCTGTGTGTGTGTATATATAGGGATTCAGTTATACTGTATCATATTCTTTTCCATCATGGTTTTGAATATAGTTCCCTGTGCTATAGGACCCTGTTGTTTATTCATCCTATATATAATAGTTTACGTCTGCTAGTTCAAAACTTCCAATCCATCCCTCCCCCTCCCCTTGGCAACCCCAAATCTGTTCTCTAAGTCTGTGAGTCTGTTTCTCTTTCACAGATAAGTTTCTTTTATTTTAGATTCTATATATAAGTGATATCATATACTATCCCATTTATATTTTCAACTGAAAAAATTGTTAAAGGATTTGTGCTACTTGCTCTATAGCCTTTCCTCTAGATAGAATTTTGCTGATTGCATCCTTGTGGTATGACTGTGATGTTTCCCTATATTGCCTGTTAAGTGGCAGCTAACTTTAAAGGCTTGATAAGTTTCACATATGTGAAACAGATCGCCAGTCCAGGATTGATGCATGAGGCAGGGTGCTCAGGGCTGGTGCACTGGGATGACCCTGGGGGATGGGATGGGGAGGGAGGTGGGTGGGGTTTCAGGATGGGGAACACATGTACACCCATGGCTGATTTGTGTCAATGTATGGCAAAACCACTACAATATTGTCAAGTAATTAGCCTCCAATTAAAATAAATTAATTGAAAAAAATAAAGGCTTGATAAGTTTCATTCTGTCTTCAGGCTACTTCATTAATTATGTTGTGCAGTTCTGTCATGGGGCATGTGATTTATTTGTCTCGCTTTTTGTGATGTTAGCAGCCACTGGTGATCACTAAATAAATAGACTATTAAATCATCTGGTGTTGCCGAATGGTGTGTTTTAATTCTATCATTCGTCCTCCTTTGTTATCTGGCTTACTTGAGCAGTTCTTATGCTGCTGTTTCTTTCACCTTTTTATTTGCCAAAGCTTCCGTTTGATTCCCTGGGAAGGACTTCTAGAAGCACTACCTCCTGAGTTCTTGCATGTTCATAATAGTGTGTTTGATGACTTTATATCTGAATATCAATTTAGCTGTATTTTAAAATCTTGGCTCATAAGTTCTTTGAATATCCTAAATAAATTACTCCATTGATTTCTGGCATGAGGTATTGATGTTGAAACTCTAATGATAATCTGATTTTCTTATAAAATACTGTTCTTTTTGTCTGACTGCACAAAGGATTTTGAAAATTTTTCTCAAATTCAGTAGTTTCAGAGTGGAGCTATTGAAGGCTGATTTTTTTTCCAGTTCATGCAGTGTATCTGTTCAATACGGGTGTTTTTTAATTTAAAAATTAAAAAAATTTAATTAAAGTATAGTTGGTTTACAATGTTATGTTAATTTCAGGTGTAGAGCAAAGTGATTCAGTTGTCTATAATATCATATACAACAAAAGTCATATACTATGTATAAACATATAGTGTGAAAGTGACACTTGCTTAGTCGTGTCCGACTCTGCCACCCCGTGAACTGTAGCCTGCCAGGCTCCTCTGTTCATGGAATTCTCCAGGCAAGAATACTGGAGTGGGTAGCCATTCCCTTCTCCAGGGGATCTTCCCAACCAAGGGATCAAACCTGCGTCTCCCACATTGCAGGCAGATTCTTTACCATCTGAGCCACCAGGGAAGCCCATATATAGCATATATATTATATATATATAATTTTCAAATTCTTTTCCATTATAGATTATTACAAGATATTGACTGTGGTTCCTTGTACTATGTAATAGGTCCTTGTTGTTTTCAACATATGATATAAGTTTTTTTTTTTTAATTTCAAGGTTGTTTGTATTTTAGTTTTTAATAATTTTTTGTCTCTTTCTTTTGTTTCCTTCTTTTGGTACTCATATGTGTATATTAGATATTCTTTGCTCATTCTTTTTTTCTACTTGTTACTTTGTCTCAAGTCCTTTATACCCCCTTTTCTTTCCTTTTTGACTTTAAAAACTTTTTTCCATTTCCATTTCTCTCAAGGAAATTTTCATCTGGTTTGTTTATTCTTGTCCTTCTAGCTTAGCCTTTATTTCTGAAATGACTTTTCTTTTATCTCCAATTCTTTTTTTGAATTTTTTCTTTTCTTTTTTCAAATCTTCCTTTTCCTGAATCATCCTACCTACTTTTTTCTTCTTTTGATTTATGTTGTCACTTATAGTTTCTATTATTTTTTCTTTCTTATTTTTTAAGTTCACCTTGAAATAATTGATCACAATTTTCTTCTGTTTTGTGGCATGTTTCTTGGTATTTTTTTTCTTGTCTGCAGTGCTATTATTTTGCTTCTTATTCTTTTTTTCTTATAATAATGTTGTCAGTATTTGACCACACTCCTTTCCTGTGGCTTGTTTTTTTTGTAAAAGGAGTTTCTCCTCTAAGTTTGTTGCAGGGAAGAGCCAATTCTAACTCCATGATGGATCTGCTTCTTTGACTTTATTGTTGTTCAGTCACTAAGTTGTGTCTGACTCTTTACAGCCCCATGGACTGCAGCATGCCAGGCTTCCTTGTCCTTCACTATCTCCCTGAGTTTGCTCAAACCCATGTCCATTGAGTCGGTGATGCCATCCAACCATCTCATCCTCTGTCATTCCCTTCTCTTCCTGCCTTCAATCTTTCCCAGCATCAGGGTCTTTTCACATGAGTCAGTTCTTCACATCAGCTGGCCAAAGTACTAGAACTTCAGCTTCAGCATCAGTCCTTCCTATGAATATTCAGGACTGATTTCCTCTAGGATTGACTGGTTTGACTTCTTTGCAGTCCAAGGGACTCTCAAGAGTCTTCTCCAACACCACAGGTCAAAAGCATCAATTCTTTGGTGCTCAGCCTTCTTTATGGTCCAACTCTGACATCCATATATGACTACTGGAAAAACCATAGGTTTGACTTTAACCTTTGTTTTTTGTTGCTTTTGTTATTATAATCATACATGATGACCTGTCTCAGGGAACCCTACCCCTCTGCCTGAAGAGATTAACATATCTCCTCCCTGAGGTTGGCCATTCCAGGAGATATTGGCAAGATAATGGTCTTTACTTCCTCAACTCTCCTATAAAAAGAACCTGGCATCCAGACCCTGACAAGATGGTTATTTTGAGACATTAGTCTGCCATCTTCTTGGTCAGCTGGCTTTCTAAATGAAGTTGCATTCCTTGCCTCAACACCTCATTCCTCAGTTAATTGGCCTGTCAAGCAGCAAGCAGGCTGAGCTTGGACTTGGTAATACTTTCAGAAGTTAATGGCAAGAAGCTTTTCTAGTTTCACAGTCTATAGCATCCCCTTCTGTTGATTTCATGAAAGTGTTAATTGCTCAGTTGTGTCTGACTCTTTGCAACCCCATGAACTGTAGCCTGTCAGACTTCTCTGTCCATGGAATTCTCTAGGCATGAATACTGGAGTGGGTTGCCATTCCCTTCTCCAGGGGATCTTCCTGACCCAGGAACTGAACCAGGTTCTCCCACATTGCAGGTAGTTATATGACCTATGTTCTGAGCTCCTCTTCCCTGCTCCCCTCCCCTTCCTTTATTTTATTTTCTGTATTTTTTTTCTTTTTTCTTTTCCCACCCTTTATTTGGACATCACCTTTTATCTGCCTTTTCCTTGTCTTACTCAGCTTGGATGACACTCCCAGCATTTTCTCCTCAGGGTGGGGCTTTGTCCTGGAAGAGTGCTTGGCTTGTTGGCTTTGAAAGAGTTCACAGGGCCTGGACTCCTGGACTCTTGGACCCCTGGGCCCCTTCAGCATGATCAGATCTTCCTATAGGCTCCTATACCCATGGTTATTAGCACCTTCCCTGAATCAGGCCCCAGCTTTGCCTTCATTCTCCAAATGGTCCACTGTATGGTTGGGTCACTCAAGATGGCTGCTCTCTGTACCTCCCCTGTCCACCCAAGTGCCTGCTTCACATACACCCTATACACACGACTGGCCTTCCTACATACTTGCCCCAGGTCCCAGCTAGTGAAGGTTCTTATCAAAGGGGCAGTGAGGGATATACCCCTCTACTGGTCTCCCTGGTAACAAATAAGCCCACCTGATGTTAATTCCCTAAAACTGGTACTCTCCCCGTCTACCTGGGAGCAAAGACTGTCATCGTGTTCCACCCACTCTGTGACACACATGGTGGCGTGTTTCTTCAGGACCTTGCTTCAGACACATAAGCTCTCTTGCGTATTAAGTCACTGATGTCTCTGTCATTGATTCTGGGTTCTTTCTTTGGTCTTGAAGTTAGACAAGCCCTGTAGGATTGGTTGCAAGGCCAATACCCATGGAACTTTCCAGTAAGTGAAATTTCTTTGGTGATTGGGGGAGGGTCTTCCAAATCTCATGGGCATCAGAAGCCCCTTTATCTTTCCTCTTCCTCCTACTGTAGTCTCTAGTATCAGGTTGGTCATGCAGTTATTGGCAGCCAGTCCCTACTCACTCAGATTTTTCAGTTCGGGAATACACTGTTTTGCTAGGGTTGGTAGTAGGTGTTGTTCATGGGTTTTTGGTTTTGCTAACCTAGTAGCTGTGGCTGTTTTAGTGGTGGGATTCAAGCAAATTCAAAAACTGCTCCACCATCTTGTTGTACAACATGGTAAATTTACTAAAAATCATTGAATTATACACTGAAAATGGGTAAATTGTTTTGAGGCAGAAGGTAGATCCTCACTAGCCCCACCAGGGTAAAGCAATTGGAGATTCAATCCCTGTGGACTAAAATGCCAAGATGAGAATACCAAGATAATTAAGGGAGGAGGCTGGGCCCTGCGCAGACCACATATTTCTTATTCTTGAAGTCAGGAAACGTCCTCACCACAACATGCTCAGAAATGCTGCTTGGAGGTCAAGGTGGAGTGATGTCGAGAAATTCTCTAACCATATGCCTCTTTGGTAGGATCTATCGTTCACCTGGTAAGGAATCCTCCTGCAATGCAGAAGACCCTGGTTTGATTCCTGGGTTGGGAAGATCCACTGGATAGGCTACCCACTTCAGTATTAAAGCCTGGAGTATTCCATGGACAGGGGAGGCTGGTGGGCTACTGTCCATGGGGTCACAAAGAGTTGGACATGACTGAGCGACTTTCACTTTTCATCTTGGCTAAGAGATGCATGCATATGTACGGGAGGATGCTGAGATACACCAGATGTGAACTGTGAACCAGGCAGATCTAAATGATTGGACAAAGGAAACTCAGAAGAAATGCCTCATGAAAGTGATTCAAACTGCCATGAGTGTGTGACTCTCTCTCTCTGAGTCCACCTGTTTGCCTCTCCACGTATACTGTACTCTTTTTTCCTCCTGATACTTTACTTGCTTCACTACCTTCCACCTTTGTGGAAATTATTTTCTGCAAAGCTGAAGGGCCAAGGCCCTTATCACTGACCACTGGTCTAGTGGTTAGAGTTTGGTGCTCTCACAGTTGTGACCGAACTTCAATCTCTGCCTAGGAACTAGCTCTAGGCAGTGAAATTTGATCAGAAGTGACATGTGCTGCTTCTGGGCTGAAGCATTTAAAGCAGGGGTGCTACCTCGACTCTCGATCATCCTCTACCTCTCAGTTCAGCTCAGTCGCTCAGTCGTGTCCAACTCTTTGCAACCCCATGGACTGCAGCATGCCAGGCCCCCCCTGTCCATCACCAACTCCTGAAGTTCACTCAAACTCAACGTCCATCAAGTTGGTGATGCCATCCAACCATCTCATCCTCTTTCATCCCCTTCTCCTCCTGCCTTCAATCTTTCCCAGCAACAGGGTCTTTTCAAATGAGTCAGTTCTTCACATCAGCTGGCCAAAGTATTGGAGTTTCAGCTTCAGCATCAGTCCTTCCTATGAATATTCAGGGCTGATTTCCTTTAGGATGAATTGGTTGGATCTCCTTGCAGTCCAAGCGACTCTCAAGAGTCTTCATCATCACAGTTCAAAAGCATCAATTCTTCGGCGCTCAGCTTTCTTTATAGTCCAACTCTCACATCCATACATGACTACTGGAAAAACCATAGCTTTGACTAGATAGACCTTTGTTGGCAAAGTAATGTCTCTGCTTTTTAACTTGATGTCTAGGTTGGTCAACCCTGTAAATGCTGCAGCCTAGCCTCTTTCATCCTGACAACTCAATGTCTACTGGTGATGGAAGCAAACGAAGAGAAAGAGAAAGAGAGAGCAGCTCAGAGGAGACAAACAATTCAGAGAGGACTCTTGAAAGCCCTTGGACTGCAAGATCAAACCAGTCAATCCTAAATGAAATAAACCCTGAATATTCATTGGAAGGACAGATGCTAAGCTAAAGCTCCAATATTTTGGCCACCTGATGCAAAGAGTCAACTCACTGGAAAAGACCCTGATGCTGGGAAAGATTGAGAGCAGGAGGAGAAGGGGATGAAAGAGGATGAGATGGTTGGATAGCATCACCAACTCAGTGGACATGAGTTTGGGCAAACTCTGGGAGATAGTAAGAGAGAGAAGCCTGGCATACTGCAGTCCATGAGGTTGCAAAGAGTTGGATGCGACTTAGTGACTAAACAACAACAACAACAATTAAATAAGATGATATGTACCCAGAATATTGTGTAGTGAAAGGCACTAACAAGGATTGGTTAAATACTGGCTGGGTCTCCAAGGTGGTGAGTTGACTCCTACAAAGAAAGAAGGTCATCCATCCTTGCAGTTTGACCTCCCTGGTCTGAGGTTGGGAGATTGGGCAGCACCTTTGCTTCAGGCCTTTTGTTGCTTTACAAGACTTGGAAGAACCTATGTGGTGTTAGTGCAAAACAGAAGTGCAGGGAAACATCTGCAGGGAACAGAATTGCAGTGGAGAAATGACTCCAGCATTAGCTGTGCAGTTCAACACAGTTACGTTAGTTATTTTCACGGAAATGACCACAGTAAAACAAAACCTTGCACACTGTGACCAAACATTCCATAGAAACCATTGCTGATGAGGTAGACATGGTCATTCTGTGCTGTGGATACATACCTTTTGTCTCCTGCCCAGAGGGACAGGTGTGGGGCAAGGCCAGGCTGGGCTGCAGGCTTGGAAAGGAGACTGGAGGAGGTGCAGGGGGAGATGCCTAGGGTTGGCTGTGGGCTGTGCTCCTGTGAAAGTTACTGTGTGTTGTTTTGATCTTCTAGGCCCAGACCATTCTCCTGTTTGTTGCAAAATTCTTTTTCAGAACTCATGCTGATGATGAAATGCCATTCCACAGAGGTGGCGAACAAAGGAACTTGTTTAGACCTCTGGATGGGGCATGACCCCAGCCCTTCGGCCCAGTGTGTCCTTGACTACACTCTTTACCTGCCTCCCAAAACTGTTCTCCTCCTCCATTCTCTAGCTCCGTGACTTCTTGGTTACTAAGTCTCCACACTTGGTCAACATGCTGAGAACCCAGGGGTCCTCTGTCCGCTTCCCCTCCTTCCCTCACCACCTCCCCTTCTCCCCGTGGTGTTCATAAAATCTGGCTGATTCTGCCATGGAAGCACCCTCATGCTCACCACTCCTCTCTACCACCGACAGGGTGCTCAGTATTTCACCTTGACCTTGACCTTGGCCAAGTGGATACCTGCCCCTAGCTACATACACCCCACATTTCTTCACAGTGCTCCAGAGCCGTCTTTCTAAATCAGGCCCACACTCCACTGAATCATTGGTGACATTATTATTAAAGAAAGAAGGGGAGTGTAAGTACTAAAAAACAGTCTTTGACGCCATGTGTAATATAAGCCAGGCACTGTGCTAAGCAATTTACATTAATTTCTCATTTAGTCATCAGACTTTCATCACATAATGCATGCAGAACCCTACCTTAATGCCATCTTTTTTTCCTTTTCCCCTAGTAAACCTTTTCCCAGGGGCAACTTCCTCCTTGTGGCAGCAGCCAGAGACTTTGCTCAGCAGCTGGTGAAGTTACTTATGGAAAACATCATTATTTCCTATTCAACAAATAAGGAAAGAGAGGTTCAGAGAGATTAAGTAACTTGCCAAACACCACACAGAAATGATGAAGGCTTAATGTTATCTCAGATAATCTGACTCCCCAGGTCACTTGTTTAACCATTTACACCATACTAAGGATGAGCGACAAGGTCCTTGCACCTTAGGAACATTTGGGCTAGCAGGAGAGATGGATATAAAGAAATAACTCCTATAAAAATGATACTTATATTAATTAGGTATGACTGATATTCTGGAGGCCCAAGGAAATAGAGGGCCAGTTGTTTCCACAATTTGGCTTTTGCTCTGCATCAGCATGGTCTTCACAATCTCCAGGTCTAAATATTTCTTTATGAATAATAGAAAATAACATAAATTGGAGAATGCCCCAGAGGAATGATTTTTCTCAAACCAGCTATGCTTCTGTGCTCCCCATATCGCACCCCTGACCTAAGGAGGGCCTTGTAAGCCTGCTGTGGGATTGTGAACAGCTGATAGGCTCTGTTATTGGACCTTTGGTGAAGGGTTCCCCCTTTGTGGAGTTGCAGCAGACAGCTCATAAAAGCAAACCTCCAAAGCCCCATCAGCTCTTCTCTCTCAGAAAAATACCTCCAGTTACTAATTGGCCCCAGACTTTCACTTCCATGGGGGTCACTGTGCAGGTGTGTCTCTGAAACAGGCATCCTCCTTCCCTCCTAACCGCCCCTCCCCATCTTTCACTTTCTTTTTTCCTTCCTCTATGAACGTATGTTCAGCATGTATTTCTGCCAGATACAGTGCTGGGATCTGGGACGCAGGAGTGAATAAGACACCATGGCAGGAAGAACACGACTTTAGGGCCTGTGTCTCAATCATAATTCCAGCTACACTGCTTTATAGCTGTGTGACCTTGAAAAGTTACTTAGCCTCTCTGGGTCTTAGTTTCCCCATCTGTAAAATGGCACAGATATGCAGATGACACCACCCTTATGGCAGAAAGCGAAGAACTGAAGAGCCTTTTGATGAAAGTGAAAGAGGAGAGTGAAAAAGTTGGCTTAAAACTCAGCATTCAGAAAACTAAGATCATGGCATCTGGTCCCATCACTTCATGGCAAATAGATGGGGAAATAGTAGAAATAGTGACAGGCTTTATTTTGGGGTGCTCCAAAATCACTACAGGTGGTAACTGCAGCCATGAAATTAAAAGATGCTTGCTCCTTGGAAGAAAAGTTATGACCAACCTAGATAGCATATTAAAAAGCAGAGACATTACTTTGCCAACAAAGGTCTGTGTAGTCAAAGCTATGGTTTTTCCAGTAGTCATGTATGGATGTGAGAGTTGGACTATAAAGAAAGCTGAGCGCCGAAGAATTGATGCTTTTGAACTGTGATGATGAAGACTCTTGACAGTCCCTTGGATTGCAAGGAGATCCAACCAGTTCATCCTAAAGGAAATCAGTTCTGAATATTCATCGGAAGGACTGATGCTGAAGCTGAAACTCCAATACTTTGGCCAGCTGATGTGAAGAACTGACTCATTTGAAAAGACCTTGTTGCTGGGAAAGATTGAAGGCAGGAGGAGAAGGGGACGACAGAGGATGAGATGGTTGGATGGCATCACTGACTCGATGGACATGAATTTGAGTGAACTCTCAGAGTTGGTGATGAACAGGGAGGCCTGGTGTGCTTCTGTCCATGGGGTCGGACACGACTGAGTGAACTGAAAATGGCACAACATAGATATCTACTCTGCAGGCTTGTTATAAGGGTTACAGTGAGAGGGTTACAGTTAATGCACTTAGAGTCTGACAGATGACAATGCTATATAAGTATTTATTGTTGTTTTTATTGCATACAATATAGAGCAGTCCTGAAAACTGTAATTTAATCTCTTTTCACTCTCCCAAGATAAATCACACAGCATGCTAGGTTGCCTGGAACATAGTAGTGAAAGTGGAAGTGCTAGTCACTTAGTCATATCTGACTCTGCAACCCACAAACTGTAGCCCACCAGGTTCCTCTGTCCATGGAATTCTCCAGGCAAGAATACTGGAGTGGGTTACTATTCCCTTCTCCAAGGGATCTTCCCGACCTAGGGATTGAACCCAGGTCTCCAACATAGCAGGCTAGTAACCTAGAATTCATCATAATTGTGATTGCTGCAATTCGAATGGAAAACTCTGGATTCTTTTAGGTAAGTTTTTACTTCTTTCTTGTTGTGGAAGTGTGAGGAACACAAAACTGACATGTTAGGGGAATTTTCTGGGCATGTCATCTTTTGTGTCAAGAGACAAAACAATGGTGAAATAGTTTTGAGGAGAGGCTGAAAGGTTTAGCCACAGAAAGATTACTATCCTTATTGGTCTGGAATGAATTCTCAGCCCAGGAGGCCAAAAAGTGGTGAAAAGTCATGTGGTTAATTAAGAGTGACAAGACAGAATCCTTGGCTGGCTGATATTGCTGTTGTTGTCCATTCGTGTCCAACTCTTTGTGACCCCGTGGACTGCAGCATGCCTGTCCGTCACCATCTCCCAGAGCTAAACTTCATCTGGGGTTAGTAATGTCCGAAAGAGTTTAGTATTCCACAGCCCAGCAGAGAGGACAGGAAGAACAAATTCAACCAATCTTCACCACCCACATGTTGCATATCATCTCTGTGTGTGCATATGTGTGTGATACAAGTATGTATGTGGTGGGTGTGTATGAGAGAGATGTGTATATGTGGGGTTTGTGGATCTGTGTGTCTGTGTGTTGAGGAGGGGTGTCAGGTCAGGGAATTGGATCCCACATGATAGATGAGGAGGCAAGCATCTTTTTCCTTTTTTTTTTTACAAGAGCAATCCAAATGACATACAGACATTTTTTAAAAATTATTTTAAGTTTTGGCTGTGTTGGGTCTTCATTGCTGCAGGCTTCCTCCAGTTGCATCGAGGTGGGGGCTACTCTTCGCTGCGGTGCTCAGGCTTCTTACTGCAGCGTCTTCCCTTGTTGCGGAGCACGGGTTCTAGGCACATAGGCTTTGGTAATTGCAGCACATGGGCTCAGAAGTTGCGGTTGCTGGGCTCTAAAGCCTGGGCTCATTAGTTGTGGTGTAGGGGCCCAGCTGCTCTGTGGCATGTGAAATCTCCCTGGGCCAAGGCTCGGACCTATGTCCCCTACCTTGGTAGGTGGATTCTTACCCACTGCCCCACCAGGGAAGTCCAGCAAGCGTTTTAAATTATTCTTGAATTGGATGTTTTCTATTAATCAGGCATTTCTTTTAAAGGCGCTGTTAGGAATAATTATTACTCTCCTGGGGACTTTCTTTTCATAAAAGTTAAGTAATCTTATATGTTTGAAGTAGGTCAACAAAAAGGAGCTGTTTTTGCTGTCTAAGCAACTTTGCCTATATTGTCATCTGCATGACTTTTTAATTAAAGCCCCTTCCAAGTTCACAAGTAGAAGCTGCACCCCAGGCCTGAAACCACACAATCCTTCATGCTACAGATGGCTCAAGAACTGCGTACCACAAACACGGGCAGACAAAACGATTGTGCATGTTCATATGACTTAAAACTTTGGTTCAAGTTTTTCTACAGAGAGCAGAATGGAGCAGCCAATATTATATCAGAAATCAGGATAGTGATCATAAATGGGCTCTGGTTTCTTACCTGAATAAAAAAAAACAAAAATTGAGACAGAATGATGAGCCAGGAGGCAGACGAATGCTTGATTCCAGTAAATGATGGCACCATTTACTTTGTGTCTTGGGCAAGTTTCATAAATTTTCTGAGCCTCAGTTTCTTAGTCTTCAAGTTGGAGCAAATACTATAGCCCTCCAATTGCTTATCTACAATCCCCAAATCCCAAAGCCACACACACACAAAAAAGACATTTTTTGAAGAAACTCATTTGGCAGTGAAATCTAATTGATCTGAATTAAGTTGCCATAAAATCCCTCCTTGAACTAACATGAAACTTTTTACAGTCTGTGTTTATTTATTGTGTATATACATGTTTTGCTACAGAATTGTGAATATATTCAATAGGGAAGGTATAGTCCAAGAGCATTTGGTACAGAATGGAAAATGCTAACTCTACATTTCTGCTCTAAAATTAGAAAATACCTGAATTCCAAAACACGTTGGTTTCAGGGATTTTTGGTAGTGGACCGTGGATCCCTATGTTCCTCATAGGCATGTGAGCGCTCTGTGAGATGGTGGGCTGAGCCCTTGGATTGGCTGT